AAGGATAAATTTGGCTAGCACATATTCATTGGTCCTTTCTAAAATCGCAATTAGACTGCCTTACCTTGACCTTTCAAAATTTTAAATCAAATTCCTGATTCTAAATCAACTATACGCAAAATTGTGTCCCAACTAAAGTTGCGTAAGCAGAATGTTTCTGGCACGAATTTGATTGGCGAGCCCTTGCCTTCTTTTCCACACCACCCTCCTCCCATGAGTGTAGAAGCACAACCACATGTTGACGCAAATCTATAGTGCATGTCGAGCTGGTTCTGCACCGGTGCCCGAAGCACACGATGTCACCTAATTGTGCAACACCAAGAGGGGCTGAGGAAGAAGACATGGAAGAGGTAAGGCCAAGGTGGCAAGAACAATAACTCTCGAAACCAGAATAAACAGTGAAATGATCCATTTCGACAACCACATTTATATGATCATAATTCTGGCCCAGCAGCAAATATGCTTCAATTGTTGGTTAAAAAGGCACCGATCACGTGCGTGCCACATCCCGAAGCATTTTGTTGAAACATAAATGAACATCACAATGTTGAATCCAATCAAGTTGCCTTGCCTGAAGCAAACGCTCTTGTTGGTTATATTGATGACCTACTTTTTCATTCAACATCATTTCAGTGATGTTTTATTTTGGAAGATCTTTATACAAACATCTAACTTCTTCCTGCAATTATTGATAAGGTTTCCTTTGTGGGTTTCGGTAGAGCTTCACTTTTACTCCATCAATTTTTTTTAAAATTGAAATGCCTTCATTTGATCAAATATCCTACTTTGATCAATTATCCTTCATCTGGTGAGTAGACATATGTTACTCGTTCTTCATACTCTAAAAAGAAGGATATGACCTAGTATCTTATGGATAATGCCTAATTTTCATATTATCCTATGAACTTCGTCCACTTTTCGACGATTATTATATGACATTAAGCATTAAGGCGGAGTATCAAGTACCTTATGCTCATACCCAAATGGTTTAGCTAATTAATAAAGTTATGGGTTATTACTAAACCATTATTTTTCAACTTTTCAATGTGCCGGATACTTGGTGGGGAAATTCTATATTTATGCTAAAATTTTCGGCACACTGCATATCCTTATTCCCCCTTACATCTAATACGTGGTTTTCAAAAAAAACATTTCCCAGATCTGCGTTTCTATTCTTATGAATGCAGTCCAATCTATTACATAACCACCATAGCGTATCCATCTAAACCTCCATCTATTGTCTCCAATATTTAAAGCCCCTGAGAGAGACGCGATTGATACGCTGACTGCATGAAGATCGGTTCACGGCATTAGGGGGAGATATGATCAAAATTGAAATGGAATGCCGAGAAATTTCATGAAATGATCTTCAAAAATTAAATCCACGTACCAATTAGACTGAACTGGAAGTTCAGAAAGAAATCAAACATATCTGCCAAATAATCTATTCCATAAAAAGAGTGACTAGGTCCCATACATATTCCCCAAAATTTGGACCATAAATATCTATCGATACTCCTTGACACCAGAAGTGCGGGAGATTCATTGGGATAGAAAAATAAAGAATCGACAAACAACTAGATCTAGTAAAGAATTTATGTCACTCTTGAAAATCTTAGAGCTCTTGAAATATTAAAAAGTTATATCTTTAAGACGATCGTCCAGACGACGAGAAAAAGCCCAGTAAAATTATTGGTGCACCAAATATTCATAATACTGGGTTGCGGAACAACCAGATATAAATATCCTTGGGAAATGGCTATAATCTGGTTAACTTTGAAAATTACTTTTATATATATATGGGAGAAATTCTTGAAAATATTATAAGTTGTCGACAACACAGTTGCCTTCAAAATTGCTCATATTATATGACAATCTGGATCCAGAGCTAGGTGCCAGAAGCGCCTAGATTGATTAACGTATAAAGAGAGCAATTAAAGGCATATATAGCTCAACTCGCTAATCCTTTTATACACCATTGAAGTATTAACCCTGTAGGTTACAAATGGTGTTTGTATAAAGGAAAAACAAGAATGACAAGGTGGTGAGATATAAAGCGAGTATGTAGCCTAAGGGTTCACGCAGAAACCCATAATCAAGTATACTCTCCCATGATAAATATTATTAAAAGTTCCGCTACATGATTGGCAGAATAATTCTAGATATGCAGCTTATTAAAGTCATGACCTAGAAACTATGGGTCATTAGACACCAATGTTTATCTAAAAATCCTTGATGGATTTATAATTCTCAAAAATGAAAGAGAATAAATATCACAACACGTTTGTTGTTGAAGTACAATTGCTTTACTCAAACTTAAAATAGTGAAGCAATTGATTGAGTAATTTCCTCTTAAAATAAGGAAATTATAGAAATGAATATGTACCATTGGTACTTATTAAGGGGCTTATTTATAAAATAAAGGAGATGGAAAATCAAGTATTATATCGACCTGTAGATCGAGCATTTCCTTAAAAGGAATTTCACATACTATTTATTCTATGTCCAAATAATCTCCCGCAGTAGATAAGGACCATTTTAACCTAAAAGGATGATGCAGGACCAGAAGTCCGATACTTCAAAACGTCATTTTGAATACCCTTTTCTTTGAGACCGAAAATTTCCAAATTCACATTTTCTTTTTGTAATTTGTAAAGAGTGATTTGGTGATTCTCCAAGAAAGAAAAGGGAATGAAGTTAATTAATATCCTTAAAGGTATAAAATACATCTTTCGATAAGTCATTTGAATATTGGCATTATGTTAAACGCCATGACTTGGATTGATATATTATAAATCAATTTAAGCTTTAAGCATCTTAAAGTCTAAGGGATAAAAAACCTTGATCCACATGAACTCCAGAAGAGTGATAATATATTTATCCAGAAGATTTGCTCCAATGACAAGTTAGCAAATGTATACCTAGAAAATACCTATGAGAAACCCCTGATGAATTTATAATTTCCGAATGAGGATTTTTTTTAGTATTATTAAGTGCCATTATTTACTCTTTAAAGAGTTGCGAATGGGGTTATTATCCTCATGTAGAAGGAATAATATGTACCATTATGTGCTCAATAAAGAGTTGATAATTGACTTATTTATTATCTCAGTCAATATTGATGGTGTAAACATCAATGAAATATATAAAGAGCTTGATGATGTCAGTTCATGTTTAAAGACTGAGATCGATTTTTTTGAAATAAAAAGCTTGTGAAAGCTATAAGTATTATCTCGACTTGAAGATCGAGTTTTTTCCGTAAAAAATTTTTATACACCAGTCAGCCTACATCTAAAAATGTTTTTCACATGTCTATATGCATAAGTGTCATGTTTTTATCAAACTAAAGGTTGCCTAATAATCTCTTGAAGCAGATAAGGAACCATTTGGACTCAAAGTCCCTTACTTCATTATCGTTGGAGCACCTTTTTAGAACCAGAAGTTCCATAATCGCAACATGCAATGCATGATATTTGCGATGAAGTTACTAGCAAAATTTAGTGCCCCCCCTACAAATGAAGTACTTGAATAATGATTAACATATCCTCCGGTATCTTCGAGATACAAAGACATGACATTTATGTAAGAAACCATGATACGGTTTTAATAGGCTACTTGGGTACTGGCTGTTTTGTTTGATCCCCGCAATGCCAAGTCCAAACTGGTTATACAATGAATTTCCCTAAATGTTCAAAATGAGGACAATAACACTTGTGTTGCACAAATGTTATATGAGCTCTAGAAGAGCCATAAGATTATACACTACTCTAGAGACAATCCAGAAGATTTGTCCAATCCATCTCTTCAAATTTTGAAATATATGTAGAACTTGAAGATTGTTATCTTCAGGGGGAGACGGGAAGTACATTTACTCGAATCAATTCGGAAGATTGGACGTAAAATCCTGAAGATTAAGTCATAAAAGACTAACAGTTGCGCACTATTTGCAACACAACGGGAACTACATTTACTTGAATCAATCCGGAAGATTGAACGTAAAATGCTGAAGATTAAGTCATAAAAGACTAACAATTGCGCAGTATTTGCAACGCATAAATACATAAATATCATGTACTCTTTTCCTCACTAGTTTTCTCCCATTGGGTTTTCTAGTGTGGTTTTTAACGAGGCATGAGTATGATATAGTAATGACAATGAGGAAAAGTTGCTTAAATAGACAAACCCCAAAATCCTGAAGATTATGCGGTTTGCGCCTTGAAGGCTTATGGTTGTACTCTTTTTCCCTTAACTAAGTTTTTCCCACAGGGTTTTCTTAAGTTAAGGTTTTTAATGAGGCGACCAAATACAATATATGTTTTTACATATATCATGTACTCTTTTCTTCAACTAGGTTTTTCCCACGTGGTTTTCCTAGTGAAGTTTTTAATGAGGCATGAATATATTTTCTATTGTACTCTTTTCTTGTCTAGGTTTTTCCCACCGGGTTTTCCTAGCAAGTTTTTAACGAGGCAAGACTATGGACAAATAATGTCCAAGGGGGAGTGTTATAAATATATATACTTAGTGGACATTATTATGTAACGGACATATTTATGTCCTCATTATGTTTACCGTTACGATTATCTTATATATATTCCCATGTACAATGTAAGTGATGATGAAAAATAAAATCATTCCCCTTTTTCACTTTTGTCTATATCTTTCTTCCTGCAAAGTTCATCGGTTAGAGCTAATGGCCAACGGGCACAAACAAACAACATTACAACAATTTGACAATTGATCTAAATCAACTAGACTAAAATGTTTTAATTTTCAGTTATATGAAACATTGAAACCTGTTTGGTCGAGCTAAACATGCTTCATGTTTCCAAATTACTGTACAAGATTGTTTGGAAGGAAAAAGTACGGAGTCAAACTTTATTTAATTGCATTTCGACCCCAATTTCATCAAGCATAAGTATTGTACGCAATCGAAACGCAGATACGTAGAAAACCGTAAGGAAAAACTGCGAGAGAGAGAGAAAGAGAGAGAGAGAGAGAGAGAGAGAGAGAGAGAGAGAGAGAGAGAGAGAGGGAGAGAGAGGAGAGAGAGAGAGAGGAAATGGGGAAAGATCTGACCGAAGATCAAAAGTCCTCGATGAAGGAGGCGTTTACGCTCTTCGACACTGACGGCGACGGCAAGATTGCGCCGTCGGAGCTGGGGATTTTGATGAGGTCTCTCGGCGGGAACCCGACCCAGGCCCAGCTCAAATCCATCGTCGCCGAAGAGAAGCTCACCTCTCCCTTCGATTTCAAACGCTTCATCGACCTAATGTCGAAGCACCTCAAGCCCGAGCCCTTCGACCGCCAGCTCCGAGACGCATTCAAGGTCCTCGACAAGGAGGGCTCGGGCTTTGTTGTCGTTTCAGATCTCAAGCACATCCTCACCAGCATCGGCGAGAAGCTCGAGCCCGCGGAGTTTGATGAGTGGATCCGCGAGGTCGATGCCGGATCCGGCGGCAAGATCCGCTACGAGGACTTCATTGCTCGCATGGTTGCCAAGTGATATCCTCCTGTGAGTGCATTTCTCTTCATACATTTTTTTTTTTTTTTCATTCTGACTCCTTAAACTCAAGAATAATCTGTCGATTTCTTATTTTTTCTGTTTTATCTATTTATTTTAATTTCTCTAACCTTTTCTTTTTGGTGATGCGAACATTGTTGATTTTGTGAGAATGTAGGAATTGCGTAGGCTATATAAGTGGGCATTTATAGTATTGCGGAGGTCTATATGGTATTTCTAATGGATAACTTTAGGATCTTGTGCAGTAAATGCCTTAATCCACTTTAGTTGGGTCTTGGGTGAAACCTCATTGAATTAGAAACGTGTGCCATGCCTTTGTTTTTAAAGGATGGTAAACTGCCTCCAGGAGAGGAATAGCTCATTAATTGGAAGTTATCCATTTGCACAGTTTAGGATACCTTTGTCGAGGAAAAGTAGAGAAAAGTTTGCATCTTCAGGAACATGGGGTGGATGTGAACATTACTTTTTAAAGTTTATGTAGATTCTTTTTGTCTTTTACTAGTTCAAGTAGGGGGAGGCTAATTGGGGGAATCTGGGAAGTTGTGGCTTTCAATCCTATAGGTTCCTTGATAATTTGGAACACATGGGACCTTGCTATGGGAAGCAATAAAAAGGTTTTCCTTTGAACCAGTGCTACAACTAACTACGTATCAGTGTTGCAAAAATTGGCCTAGGTGCTGCATTGGTATTAGGAGCCCCTAGGTCGAGCGGATTTCCGTGTTAGGTGCCTGCCGTCCGACATAGTCAGACTAGGTGGTCAAATCTGCTGATTTATTTATTTATTTTAATTGGGTTGTTTTGCTCAAAACAATGTAGTTTTGAGTGAAACAAACCAAAATCCTAATTATTCGGCGGAAAAAGGGAAGAAATCAAGAAAAGAAGCCTCAGCAGCTTGCAAGCATCACCCCTCACCTCATTGTCGTCGTCAGCTCGGCTCTTGCAAGTTGTGGCGTTGGCCACTTGGCCCATTGGACTAAAACTTCACATTTTGAAATTGGCTAGTCAGCTTAGCTTCAAATTTGACAAAACCCAGTCACCGCCGTGGCGCTACCAGCTCTGCAGTACTTCGCCGAGTCACTGCCACCAGCTCTGCAGCTCATAGCCTCGCAGTCTGGTAGTCGTTGCCAGGCTCTTCAATCTTATTCTTCACTAACCTTCAATTTATTTTACCTGAATGCCAAATGGTTTATATAAATTGTGAGCTCTGTTGCTTGTGGACCTTGTGAGCTCTGTTGATTTATATAAATTGTGAATGTTTGTGGAAAAGTGGCAGACTGGCAGTAGTGTATATGGAGATTGGAGAATGTGGAGAATTAAAATTATTAAAGCAATAAATAAATTATTTTAATAAGACAAGTGGAAGATGGCAGACCACTGGTTTTGCACTTTCCCTTTTATTATTATTAATTTTTTACATCTTAGGTGCCTGCCTAGGCGCTGGTTGCCCATCGGGCACCTGATGAGCACCTAAGGCCTTCTACAACACTGCTACGTATTGCATTTGGACGATAAGGGGAACTGCATGTATACATGAAAGTGTATTGTAGTCATTGGAAGTCATAAAAAGTTTGCTTATTTGGGAATACAATAGTTATAAACATTATGTATAAAATTTGTGCAAGTCCTTTTTCCTTTATCAGTTAAAGCAGCCTTGGGAAACCTAGGAAGTTGTTGTGGCTTCCTATATTATGGTTGTGTGGTGATTTGAAAAAACCATGTGACTTTGTTATGGAAGCCAGAAAATTGTTCTCCTTTAAACCAGTGCAACCTCTTACTGTATGTTGCATTTGGACGTTAAGGGAACTACATAATTGCAATAAAAGCATTGTAGTCACGGAGGAGTAGTGAAAAGTTTGCTTTCTCAGGAATATGATAGTTATATACATAATGTTAGGAGTTTGTGCAGATTCTGTTGTCACTACATAGAGGATGGATACTTGGGAGAACCAGGGAAATTGTAGCTTCCAATTCTGTGGGTTTGGTGATAATTTTTGCATTCATGTGATTTTGTTATGGGAAGCCAGAATAATGTTCTTTAAACCAGTGCAACCTCTAAATTTATGTTGATTTTGGACGTCGAGGGAAGTTGGGAACTACATAAATGCATGACTGCATTTGTACTTCTCACAGTATACTTCTGGTTTTTCTTTCTTTATGTTTGTCTTCCTGTGTCTTAACATCTTAAGGTCCTTCCCTTAACCAGAATCTTGAAAATTTTAACATTCTGTTTGGATTGAGTTCCTTAAAGAGCAATACATGAACTTACCTTCCAAATAAAGTTGAGTAGAGATTATGAGAAAGTTATGCATTAAAAACAGAAGGCCTATTATAGTATTGCATCCCTTCTCCTCTGGGGATGCAAAGATGCAGGTTTGAAGAGGAATGGCATTTTATAATGTGATGTGATAGATAGTCAGATTTCAAAAAGAGTTAGCATATATGGATGTACTAAAAGCTATTCTTTTTGTTTTTGTTTGTTTTTTTTATTTTTTTATTTTTTTTATTTTTTATATAATATCTCTAAACATAGTGTCCTAACCATCCAACATTTTGCCACCCAAGCTAACCATCAAGTGAACCTGGAACAATCCTCATTATGCCAGATTACTGCTGAAGAAACCATAAAAAGTTAGTATTTTAGTAGGGGATTTTAAGTTGTGTTTTTTTCGTCTCCACCCTGCCAACCCACCTACTCTGGCTTGTTACATTAAAGGTGATTTGTGTATCTACTCCAACAATGATACTATTGTTCCATATTAATTTGGAGGATGATCTGGGTAATGTGTACAGTTAAATATAGCTTACACCCTGTCCTATACTCATAAGACGGGTTTAGCTCTTTCCTAGGCCTAATAGGGATCCTAGTCCTACCTGATAGTTACAACTGTTGATTTAAGCAATTCCTTCTCCTATCCACTTCCCTCTCTGATCTACTCATAAAAGCCTATTCGTACTAGCCTTTTCCCATTCCTAGTTAACGTCAGACGTTTAACCCCTTTCCCACAACCTATTCACACAAAAGCCAAGACTCCTACCAGCCTCCAGTTAACCTGAGACCCATTGCACAATGAAGAACCTGCACAAGATTTCATTTCCATTATTGGTATGATACCAATGCCCTCAAAACATATGGTTCACTAAATGCTTTTTCACATTCCTAAATTTTTATCCAACTTATTCCCATGTTTGAACCAAACATTATTTTTAAAAGATAGTACACATAAAGGCTTATTAATACTGTACTACGATATGATGATTTATGAACTAGCAGTATTTTATTACCTCTGGCAGATATTTTCAAGCAATGAATTCTATATTCAACTTTCTTCATCTGTCTTCCTCCTCTCACAGACCTTTATATATTGAAATTGAGCTTTTATGACTTATGATATACATCTACATCATATATAAGCAATCTTTGACTTGTTCAGTTTGCTCCATATCTTTGGATGCAGGTGGCAGCATACACCATTGGTTGTATCTAGATGAAGTGAGGTCAATGTGCTCCTTCATCTTATAGTCTAGTATTTTGTTTGGATGCTGAAGGGCGTTTTAATTAACTGCCTTCATGAATTTTTTTCTTCTGTCGGTGAACATTTTGTGGGGGGTCGTGTATTTGGTTCATAATTGTCTAAACCCTTCACCTTTAGAATTGAGAAGTACTGTTTGCAAGTTTGTTTTTTATTTGGAACTCATAATTCCTGTGTACAGTTTCATTGAAACTCGAAGACCAGTTATTTATATTCCTTGTGCTATATTCATTTGTGTTTTCTGTGTTATCCTCATGTATTGGTATCTGAAAGTTGATAGATGATAAAGGACGCAGGTGGTGAAATGGAAAGTGAAGGTTAATTGTGCCATTGAGAAACAATTTTGTTGGCCATGGTTGAAGCAGTGAAGCACCATGGGGCACACATAGGAAAATGTCCATTCTTATATGCTGACAAGTGACAATAATGCTAACACCCAAAGCGGGTAGATTCGTTGTGCGCACATTGACATTTGGCCCTGTCTGCTGAGCCATTGAGTTATTGTGATTTACATCCTCTTAATTCTTAATTGTTCTGTCCGGTCGGGATGTAGACAATAATGCTAACATTTTTTACCTATTTTTGTTTGATCAACAACTTGTGTCACCCCTTTTCGTTTGATTAACTCTGCAGCAAAGAATGTTTTGTAAGGTGCAAGTATAGGGAAAATCACTTTTTTTTTTCCTTCAAATTATTATGGTTTCATCAATGTGGTTTCTGTCTTTCAATTATTTATTTATTTATTTTAAGAGTTAATTACCGAAATGGTCCCTTGACTATAGTGAAATTATCAATTTGGTCATTGACTATTTTTTTGACCAATTAAGTCCTCAACTTTAAAAATCTTAACCAATTTGATCCTCCGTTTGTTTGATCGTTAGTCAGCTGTTAACTTGGGACCAAATTGGTAATTCGTTGTAGTCAAGGGACTATTTTGGTAATTAACTTTAAGGGCCGGCACTTCGGTTCAGTTTTCTCGAACCGAAGCGTACCAAACTAGTTAGATTCGGTAATATACAAAACAACCGAATGGTAATAGATTTTTATATACTGAACAGTTCGGTAAAAACTCGAACCGAACTGAATTGTTCGGTAAAAATCGAACCAAATCGAATACTGTTTGAACTTTGAATTGCTATTTTGTTATATATTAGACTTTGGATATGGACTATGTAAACACCATAACACATAATATAGAACTTTTGATAATATACCATAAAGAAATCAAATAAAACATTTACGAGAGATGCCCGTGAGAATATAAGCTGAACGGCGGAGCAAGCAGCAAGGGACTTGGATTTATTTTTATTTATTTATTTATTATTATTATTATTATTATTATTATTATTATTATTATTATTATTATTATTATTATTATTATATTTTTTTAAAAAAAAATCGAACGGTATTCGGTTCAGTTCAATTTTTTACCGAATAATTCGGATCGTGTTCTTTATCAAACCGTTCGGTATACAAGAATCCAATGCCGTTCGGTTGTTCGGTATATTATCGAACCAAACTAGTTCGGTTTGGTTCAATTTGAGAAAGCTTTACCGAATTGTCCACCCCTAAAGTTAATTACCAAAATGGTCCCTTGACTATAGCGAAATTACTAATTTGGTCCCAAGTTAACGGTTGACTAATGGTCAAACTAACGGAGGACCAAACTGGTTAAAAATTTTATAGTTAAGGGACTTAATTGGTTAAAAAAATAATCAATGACCAAATTGATAATTTCTCTATAGTCAATGGACCATTTTGGTAATTAACTCTTTATTTTAATATTAATTAATTTTGATCTTCTAGTTATCTCAAAAGTTGTAAATTAGTCTCATATTATACTCTTATTTATCATCAGAATTAAGTATTTGTGTTGCAACTTCATTTGATTTTTGTTCTTTTAATTTTATTCCTAGATCGAACAATTATTTAGCACATGCCTTAGCATCTACAACTTTCCATCATCATATTGTTATGTACTGGGATTTAATCCCTCTTGACATTATTGCGGCTTATTTCTAATGAAATTACCACTTATTTTTTTTAAAAAAAAATACTCTTATTTATCATCAGAGTTAAGTATTTGTGTTTTTTTGCCAAACACCTTGTGCTCAATTGACACTTATGTGACTTTCCTTTAGGGAATGTCACAAAATCGAACAGATACTACATTGTAATAGAATTGACAGTACTAAAAAAAAAAGTATTAGTAGTCGATAGTACTAAAAAAGTGTTAGTGTTTTCTTGGGGTAAAATTGGTAGGTTACCTTGCTTGCATTCATATTCCCTTGATAATTCATTTGAAAATCTAATTCTATTACATCATAAAATTTAAGAAAAACTGTAATCTTCGTCCCTAAATTATAGAATAATGGTAGAATTTGTCTTTGAGTGTTGGTCATGCTCACTTTTCGTTCCTAAGTTATTATTGACGTTGCACTTTTGGTCATTTTGTGCTCACTTTTCATCTCTGAGTTATACTAAAATTGTAAATTTAACTCCTAATGTTTTATTAGTAAAGGGACGAAAAATGCAGCGTCAATGATAACTTAAGAACGGAGAGTATGACTAACACACTTAGGGACAAATTTTACAATTATCCTATAACTTAGGGTTGTTATAAATATATTATTGAATGACCATTATCATTGAGGCTTTTCATTTGCCCTATCTTCAACTCCCTCATTATGTTAGGAAATGAAGGGTTGTATTATTTTGTATATATATACATGTTGAAGGATGAATAAGATGAGCCTTTTTGAAGTTCTTATATCATGTGTTCTACTATTCTCTCTACTCTCCCATTCCATATTACAATATTGTTTATACATATAATTGGCGCGTTACCGTACAACAATCCCGGTAGGTTGAGCTAATCAGTATGCCGAATTACAACACGTTATCAGCACGAGTCTCTATCGTAATCTTCGGCGAACGGTACTATTGGTTCATTTTTCCTATGAATTTTTGTTTTTGAATCATATGCCATTGTTTATATATAAATATTATGTGTATATATGGCTATGAGTTTGGTTTGGAACCTTCAATTATTGTTTCTATGAAATGAGTGATAATTCTTCATATTTGTTAACAACTTTTGAGTTATGAACTCATCATCAAGACATGGTTAAGAATTTTGGTAAATACGTGAATTTGTAAATACATATTATTTTTATTTATTCTCTCAATTCATGTATATGAGTTAGGTTCTACATATGCCATGATGCTTTGAAATGGTAAATACATGTGGTTATATGTTAAATTGTATGTACGTGCAAATGTAAATGTGTTCATTTGTATATATACATATGGGTTAAATATACATGTGTTTGATATTTACCAGTGAAACAATGATTCTTGCACTATTCTCCATTATTGGAATTTACTATATTCACTTAAAATGACTTCATGACTTACGAAAAGATAATATTTACTATATTGATCTTGTAGATTGATTATGTACTATTCTCCATTTTTGGCATTTATGCTTCTTTTGAAAAATACATATAAACTGACTACACTACAAGAAAAATGCACATAGACAACGGTTAATAACCGTTGTCGTAGGGGTATAATTTATGTTGTTGAAGCCGGTGTTGTTGTAAGTCTCGCGCATAGACAACGGTTTTTTAACTGTTGTCTTTTCTAGAAACAACAACGGTTTTTTAACTGTTGTCTATTAAGTGTTGTTGAAGACGGTGTTGTTGTAAGTCACGCACATAGACAACGGTTAATAACAGTTATCTTTTCTAGAAACAACAACGGTTTTTTAACCGTTGTCTATTAAGTGTTGTTGAAGCCGGTGTTGTTGTATGTCACGCACATAGACAACGGTTAATAACCGTTGTCTTTTCTAGAAACAACAACGGTTTTTTAACCGTTGTCTATTAAGTGTTGTTGAAGCTGGTGTTGTTGTAAGTCACGCACATAGACAACGGTTAATAACCGTTGTCTTTTCTAGAAACAACAACGGTTTTTTAACCATTGTCTATTAAGTGTTGTTGAAACCGGTGTTGTTAAAAGTCACATAGACAATGGTTTTAAACCGTTGTCGTTTCTTCCAAAGACAACGGTTTTTGACCCGTTGTCAATTCAATGTTGTTGAAACCGGTGTTGTTAAATGGAAAAATACAAAAACTATAATTAACCATTTCCAAAGTAGGGGGCGACGTGGAGGGCGTTAGTCCAAACAATAAAAAAGTTAGATAAAATAAAATACGGCAATGAAAGATTAACAAGGCACTTCAAGAATAAAATTGGACAGTTTCATACTTTCATATTAAAGGGGAAAAAGCCACAGAATTAACATTTCGGAGTTTAGCGCAGCAGGCAGAAATGTAAAGGCAAAGATGAATTTGAGCACAGTGGCACCTTATCATACCATTCTGATGTAGTCTAAAACCTTAAGCTTTTACACTATTAAAGCTATTGTATGCAGTCTTACAAATCACTCAAAACAGAGAAGAGCAGCACATGTTCATTTTGCTCTGATCTTACCTAATTTCAGAGTACTAAGGGAGAAAATAATTGACGGCAGTAACCGACTACCTGTTGACTTCAGCTCCGGCAGCAAAAGTGAGCAGTGTTGTTCATAGTTGGAATAGGAGGTGAAGAATGGTGGTAAGGTAACATTCCACTAGAGAAATGAGGTAGCCGAGGAGCAGCCGGGGAAGAAGTAAGGTTGCGTTAGCAAATCCTGATGATGCTGCAGTAGAGAAGAGTGTTGCTGGAGGAGTCCCACCATAAGCTTGATCCCAGTTTGGTAAGGAATTAATTTCCATGCCCTTCCCTATTGCTGTTCCCTGCATTAAGTGGCAAATTGACCAATGGTGACTAAAAGACCAAATTTTCTTTCAAGTGACTTAATATCCATAAATCACAAGTAACAATAGTTGCTATAGAAAAGATATTTTCCCATAAGAGAGAGTTCATGGGGACCAGTATGATTTTCGCACAGAGGTGAAAGGTAATAACTCACTAAACAATTGGTTCAATATGTATACATTCAAATGATTTTTGCACAGAGCTCAGGTGTTACTAACTCCTTTAAAGATTTCAAAGTAGTGTAGGCCTAGAACATTAGCAGGAGGAGCAAGAGAAGAATGAATTGTCTAGAGAGTAAAAAATAATGACAGTCAAATGTATGGAAATCTTGTAGTATGCTTCAAACCATGCTAGACAAGGGGATAGTGGGATACCTTGTAAATGGGAAAGAATTGAGTATTT